AAAAATAAAAACAGTTTAGAGCCTTTTTCTTTGCAAAACACACACACACACACACACACACAGACATTCACGCAGACAGTTCGTGGTGAAATCTCCCAGCATGCATCTGTCCTGCCCACGTTCACATGACTACACATGACACTTAAAAACCCAGATGTTGGTTAATGATGTGGTCTGTGATAAATAACTTAAAAATCTGCAGAGTTTAGATTAATCACTCAGAAAACAAAAACAGAAGTGTTAATTCATGATTGTATTGATTGTGTGTTGTTACACTGAAGAAGACCAGGAGAGGTGGTTGAAGAACACTGAAAGGAGTCAGATGGTGAAGGCGCTTTCAGGAGGAAGCTACGAAAATGGCGGACAAAGCGCCGAAAACAGGCAAAGATATTGAGACGAAACGGGAGTGAATCTGGTGTTTCACCGTAAATTCCCGTTGAGCTGCGGAGGAGGAACCAACTTAAACCCATGTGATGTTTCTGCTTGATCAATGTCTCTGGTAGAGACCTGTCAATCACAGTAAGCCCCGCCCTAAATCATGACTTGAAACTAGAGATTGAGACCATACACTCATGTTCACAATGTTTACTGAGGTAATAAATCAAGAGAGAAGTAGAGTCATTTTCTCATAGACTTCTATACAACCAGAGGAGTCGCCCCCTGGTGGACACTAGAGAGACTGCAGCTTTAACACATGAAGCTTTGACTTCACTCCTCAGAACCGGAGGCTCCGCCTGTGTACAATACGCCTACATTTTCAAGATGTTTGGTTGGAAACACTAAATGTTAATGAAAGACAAACTAATAAATATGAGAAAATATGCCATGAGGTTAGATGGGTACTGGTTCTGGTACTGACTGCAGATCTCTTACTGATGAGTGTAATGACGTGTCTTTTGCTTGAGTAAAGGATACTTAGATAAAGTAATAGTAATAACTAAAATCTTAAAAGTGATATATATATAAATAGCCACTCATGAGCAGCTTACAGTACACCGCGTGTGTGTGTATCTCTGAGTGTTGGAGGACAGAAACAGTATGAGAGCGACCTTGCACCGGGCGAGGAGACGCTGTCGAGCTCCACATCAATATTTTAACAGGAGAGTTGACACATCAAAAAAAAAAAAAAAAAAAGAGAAACAGAGAGAAGAAGAAGAAGAATGGCCAGCGATTCCAGAGTCATCTAAAATTCATGCACGCATCATCGCCGCCATGAATATTCATACAGAGATGAATATTTAAGTGTGACTCCTATGGAGAAATTAGGTTCATCTTTACACTTATCAATAATTCGCAGACCAGGTGAGCCTCATCGGGCCACTAAATAAATCATGTCTTCACACACAGAAAAAAAAAAAAAAGTTTGGACGAAGAGAGAGAAAGAACGGAAAACAACACAAAGTTACGTGTTGGTTCGCAGCAGTGCCTTCTGGGTAAAGAGAGAGTGAGATGTCAGCAGAGTGAACAGCTTGGCAGTTGTTTTATTACTTTACTACTGTGTGTTTTAGGGGTTACGGAGTGTATTTTACACAACAACACAGTCTCACGGCAGTCTGTTAAATAGTCATGAACGTTGTGTGAACGGAAACAAATTGTCCGTTTGTCTCGTGTTGCTTGGAAGGACTTTTTTTCAGGATGCAATTACGTTATTAAACAATAGTTAGCTTAAGGTGCATTCACACCAAACGCAAGACGAATGTCGCGTTACTCGCGGGAACATTTGTGGTTATTCGCGTCATTCGCTCTAGATGTGCCGGAGAGGGGGAGGGGCTTATCTTCATAGAAGCCGTTATCAACTACGCCATTTAGTTCCACCATCAACCGTGGAAGAAATAACCTCTGTTCCTGATTAGTACTTGTTGTTGATGTCCCAGATATCCTGGAAACTAAACGTCTTCTTGTCTGGTTCATGACATCATCTGGACGAATATTAACTGCGTCTATCAAGACACACATCTGTTTACTACAGCTGTATGAACACTAAATAAACAGAATGTTACTGTGATTTAACTGCAATAAACGGATTAAAAAAGATGCCGAAATAATTAGAAAATGATGCTGATTTGTAAAAAGTCTGAATTCATGTTTTGTTAGTTCTCTCCACAAGACGACAAGCGAACAACTTTTAAAATGTTTGTTTTCTTAATGGAGCTCGAATCGATCGGTGCTATGCTAAGCTAACATTGTAGCAGCTCCATCAACACTCAACATAACGTCATCTCGGTGTAAATGCAGCAGCATTGTTTTCATTGTTTGTACCATATGGTTTATACACACATTCATAGTTTGGTCCGGTCTCTTCTAATCTGAGGTATCGCAGATCTCTGGGAGAACACAGGCGACTACAGTATGTGTTTCCTGATTCAACAACGTCAGGACGTCAGTGATGACGGGAGGAGCATCTCAACGCTGACACCATTTCAAGACACATTTTTTAAATGAGGCGAATTCACATCATTCGCGCCGCCCATCAAAACTATGTCTCTCCATTTTCTCCATTTTCCAGTTTGGACATTAATAAAATTAACATAAAATGATGGTATATGGATATATGTAAAGTTAAATAAGCCGAAAAGACAAGTTGCATCGAACACATGTTTCATCATCAGCTGATTACTTCATCTGGTTTGATAAAAAGCTTTTTAGAAAATGTAGTTTGCTAGAGTGCCGGAGCTGTAATGCAACAAATATCTATGATTTCTGTGTGTGTGTGTCTGCGTATGTGTGCGTGTATATGTGTGTGAAGGACAGAAGAGGATGACTCAGATCTCTAATCGTAACACATGCTGCTCTCCTCTCTGACTCATTTGGCTGCAGTGAAGTCATTACACGAACACACACACACTATCCGCACACACACACACACACACACACACACACACACACACACACACACACACACACACTTTACTCTGGTATGGTTATGAGGGATGCTATGCCTTGTAATCCCATTCTCCATGGTAAGGATGAAGAGTGTGTGCGTGTGTGTGTGTGTGTGTGTGTGTGTGTGTGTGTGTGTGTGTGTG